ATTTGCTTAATGCAATTCGGCCTTTGATATCTTAACTGCTGTTTTCATGAGTGTTGATAGTGGATCCCAACCAACTAAAGTCTTCGACAACTTCAAGCTCTTCTCCATTTATCATGATGTTATTTATTGGTCTAGTGGCAAGAATTTTTGTTTTATTTACATTGAGGTGCAACCCATACTGAAGGCTGTGGTCTTCGATCTTCATCAGTAAGTATTTTAAGTCTTCTTCACTTTCAGCAAGCAAGGTTGAATCATTTACATATAGAAGGTTATTAATGAATCTTCCTCCAACCCTGATGCCATGTTCTTCTTCATATAATTCATCTTCTCAGATTATTTGTTCAGCATTTTATTTTTAATCACCATTCACCTACCAGTTTGTCGTACTGTGGTGGCTTGCATTTTGATGTGATCCTGAAACAATGCTGCTGATTTTTCAAGTAGCAGCAGGGTCACCCATGGTGGACAGGTTTGAGCAGAGCTTCTAAAGAAAGATGGATTAAGAAGAAGAGCCTGTTGATCTACACCTAGCAAAGGAATTGGCTAACACTCAACCAGTTCAGGAGGTAGAGTATAATTCAAGAACCAATAATAATGAAGGTAGAGAAGTCCAAGATGCACTGAAGGCATTGATGTAAAACTCTAGGTTGCAGGAATTGACAGAATACCAATTGAGATGTTGCAGCTAACAGATGCAATGCTGGAAGTGTCCACTCATCTATGGCACAAAATTTGGAGAAGTTACATTGCCAACTGACTGGAAGAGATCCATATTGTGCCCATTCCAAAGAAAGGTGATTCAACATAATGTAGAAATTTCTAAACAATATCATTAACATCACATGCAATTAAAATTTTGCTGAAGATAATCATTAAAAAACAAACAAACAAAAACAAAGGAAGCCATACATTAACAGGGAGCTACCAAGAATTCAAGCCAGGTTCAGAAAAGAATATGGAATGAGGGATATCATTGCTGATATTAAGTGGATCTTGGCTGGAAGCAGAGAATACAAGAAAGATATTCCCCTGTATTTTATTGACTGTCCAAAGACAATCAACCGTATGCATCATGGGAAATTACGGGTAACATTGCAAAAAATGGGAACTCCAAAACACTTAATTGTGTTCATGTGGAACCTATATATAGACCAAGAGGTAGTTGTTGGAACAAAACAAGGGCCTACACTTACACCTCTGTATACAGGGCATATAGGGGCGGGCAACTTAGACATTGGCTACCTAAAATGAGGGGGCAATAAAGGCACCAAGTGACTGGCTTACAAGTTTTCAAGAGGGAGTTTAGTTTAAGACTGTGTGGGGGAAGATAGAGTCCCTACTGAATAGTTTTCATCTTGTCTAGATAGATCTGGTGAAAAGAGATGGGAATAAGATTCTTATAATTCAATAGTGAGTAATTGTTATCATGATAAATTGTGACTATCACAACTGTAACGGTAGAAGTTTTGTAACAAAAGTGGAGAAGTAGTTAACCTTACAGTCTGGAAACAGAGGACCATCATGAGAGAAGAGCACCAGAAGAGTGTGGTGCCTTATCCAGAGAAGCAGTGACACCAAAGATGGAGACAGAGATAGGACATGGAGAGAGGGAGCAGCTGAGGACTCTGGAATCATAGAAAGAGAGGGACTGGGTGCTGGCAGCCAGGAGGCAGGCTTGCAGAATGTGCCCTTAGGTTGTTTAAATTATTATATATTCCTGAGTGTTTCTGTGTACATCTGCCCCCCCCCAAAAAAAAAAAAAACAAAAAAAAACAGGGAATGGAAGCAAGTAATGATGATGTACAGAGTAGATTGTAATCACTGCAATGAAACGATGGTGTAAAGCCAACGTTCTTCCATGAAAACTAGCATTCGTTTCACAATAAAAACTTAAACAAAGAAAGAAAAAAAAAGATTAAAATGGCAAAGTTTATGTTGTATACAAGTGGGATCTAAAAGGTTCATGAGAAAATTCCATTTTCTCAATAACTTTTTGAAGCCCCTTTATATGTTTTACTAAAATAAAATAATAATAAAAACCTATCATTCATTAACTGATACCATGTATATCACAACATCCTTTCTACCTTTAGAAATGTCTTTACTCTTTAAAGAATGCCATTCTATTATTTGTCTTTCTCTTTTTTAATCAAGAAAATTAAATGAGCAAAAAATCAAACCAAAAAAACTTTCAAAAATTGCGTACCATGGTAGAGCACTGTATTTATGCCTTGGGACTCACATGCCCTATACAAACAAGGAAGTTATTACGGACTAATAACCCAGTTTAGCCCCAAATGTGCTTGCTATGAGCTATTTACTTCATAACCATTCCTTCAATTGCTTTTTTGCTTTATAAGCCAACAATGCTACTCTTCTTCATATGGAAAATATATATTAAAATTTAACCAATACTCTTCAAAAAAAAGGGGGGATACAATATGGTTTAAAATCAGGAAAGATGTGCATTGGGTTGTATTCTTTCATCATGCTATACAATCTGTATGCTGAACAAATAGCCCAAGAAGCTGGAATATATGTAGGACAAGGTACCGTGAGAATTGAAGGCAGAATATTTAGCAACTGGTAACAGGAGCTCTGATAGCGTAGTGGTTACGATTCAGGCTGCTAACCTTAAGATCAGCAGTTCAAAACTACCAGCTGTTCCACGGGAGAAAGATGAGGCTTTCTGCTACCATAAAGATTTACAGCCTTGGAAACCCTCACTATGAGTCAGAACTGACTCCACGGCACAGAACAACATAAACAACAATATGTGAATGGAGTCCTGGTGTGGTGCTGTGGGTTAATGCGCCAGACTGCAAAGTCATTTGAACTGCAAGGTCTGCGGTTCAAGCTAACCAGCTGCTCCTTGGAAACCCTATACAGGGTAACTATGGGTCGGAATCAATTTGATGGCACTTAACAACAACAACAATATGTAGATGACATACCCTTGCTTCCTTAAAGCAAAGTGAACTTCCAACACTTACTGATGAAGATCAAAGACTACATACAGCTTTCAGTATAGATTACAACTCAACATAAAGAAAATGAAACCCCATACAATTGGACCAATAAGGAACAGCAGGCTAAACAAAGAAAAGACAGGCATTGTCAAAGATTTCTTTTTACTTGGATCTATAATAAATACTCATGGAAATAACAGAAGAAATCAAAGGATTTGAGCAAATCTGCTGTACAAGACCTCTTTAAAGTGTTCAAAAGCAAAGATAAAAAAGTAAGTTCTTTGGAGACTTAGGTGCCACTGACTGAAACCATGGAACTTTCAATCTCCTCATATGTATCTGAAAGCTGGATAATGAATAGAAACGACAAAAAACTGATGTATTTGAATTATGGTGTTGATGAAAAACATTGACTATACAACGGACTTCCAGAGGAACAACCAAACTGGTGAAAACCAAAACTTACCCATCTACAGAGAGGTATGGCTTTTTTTGGTCATCCTGATGGGAAAACTGGCTATGATATTTCAGAAAGTTCTGAAAGCAGAAAGCTCTGCAAGCAGCAAGTTCTGATGGCATCGAATCTGCAAACTAACTGCCAGATGGAGGAATAGGAAGCTCTGGTTAAACTCTCAGAAGGGTGTCTGTGTGGGCTTTGCCTGGGCTTAGGTGATGAGGAGAGTCTAGAATCTTTTATGCATAGCCCAAAGTTCTGTGGAATGGCCTTAGAAAGACATCTCCACAGGGCAGAAGTTCAGTGTGTAGGAGCCTAAGGTTCCAATAGGCCTTTGATGCTGATGAAGAAAATTGTGATCAAGGTGTCCCACAGTCTGCAACGTGTTCGTGGAAGTGGCATTTATTCTGTTGACTTTCTTTGTCTCTAACTACTCCAGACAGCAGAGATGGTTAAACTCTGTACTACTAGTAGAAAGTTTTGTGGTTCAATGCACCCAGAGACGACATGCCTAGCAAACAGCTTCCTAAATGTTACAGCTTTGGAAACCCTAAGGAGTAATTCTACTCAAAATGGATTTGATGTTTTTAAGTGCTCTCGAAGATCGGCTTCGGAGCTTGCAGTTCAAATCAACCTTGAGATGGAGATCGCATGCTCACAAGATGGCAACTAATCACCACCACCATAGCACCAAGAAGTGAATGGGGGAAAGAAACTGGTTTTAGAGCCAAACAGACTACAATTAGCAAGTTCTTCTATAAGGTAGCTGTTACCTCCTCAGTTCACATCTATGAGCCAGCCAGTTCATGGATGACAAGATTAATGATGGCAACCTCCCAGAACAGCGATCTGAGATAAGGCAGTGAGTAAATGAGAGGCCTTGCCCTTCCAACTCTAGATCCTAAAAGAAGGTGTCAGACAAGGGGCAAGAGGGAAACCCTTAGCTTCGCCCAGTTGTTGCTGCTGTTAGTGCCAAGGAGTCCTTTGGACTCTGGGAGGGAGAAAGTGTCTGGAAGACTTCCCAGGCTCCGCCAGGCTCCCTGGGCGGAGGATGCCCGGGCACAGGACTCCCCAGCGTGCGCCCAGCCTCCCACCACTGATCCCGGTTGCCTGGGGCCAGCCCCTGGCGGGAAGGGGCAGGGAAACCTCAGCCAGGCACATAGACAGCAGCCGTCTTGTTCCGCAGCCCGGTGGCTTTTTTTTACCCCTCTCCAGACATCCCCCGCCCCGCCCCTGGATCCTCATCTCCCCAGGAGATCCTTTCCGCTCTGGCTGTGAAAGTGTTAACCCTGGAGCTTTTTGTACTCCCTTCTCTCCCCTACCCCCATTCCCCCACAGCCCTCCCTCCCTGCCGCTGGCCTAGGGTTGCTAAAAAAGAAAGGTGCAAAATTTGGTAAAGGGTAGGGAATGAGTGATCAAAGCCGAGCCGATACTTCCTGTTGCTGCAACGCTATATATAAGGTGATGAGCACACCCGCTGCAGAGAGACACACGAGCGCTCGCCCGCCGCCGCCGCCGCCACCGCCGCCAGAGGTTTCCCTGGGACCACAATGAACAAGTTGCTGTACTGCGCACTCATGGTAAGTCCCTGCCCTGGGGGACGCGGGCGCGAGAGCACCGGACGCCCGGGAGGCTGCCCTCCTCTCCTAGTCCCCGGCTTTCCCAGCGGATTGAGGGCGAGAAAGCTCACCTCGCGCGCACTTTCCCAAGAGAGGTTTGTTTGGGATCAGGTAGGAACACGAGCCCACTTTCCAGCTCTGTTGACCTTCTCTAGGGTTTCTCTCTATGCTGGAAAGTTCCTTCTGAGTTTATGGAGAAGAGAAAGAAGCGATTGGCACCTTTCTTCTGTGAGACTTTTATTCCTTTTATTTACTTTCTTCATCTCTGATGCTTAACGCCCTTATACTATTTGTGTTAAATTAACTTAAACTTTATTTTCATTATTGTCAATGAACTCGTCCCTTAGAATGCCAGTAAGTGGGGAAGAGATGTCAGTCTTTTTGAAAAGTGTTATAACTTGAATAATACTTGATCGCAGGTGGTACTTCACATTCGGTTCATTCTATGCTCACTCAAATGTGAAATTTTTTGAATTGACACCAGAGAAAAGATGACACACACATAAAGCCTTTAACAGTGTAGTTTAAATTTTTAATAGAAAATGTATTATTAAAATATATTATTCCAGTGTCAGGTTCAACATAATGTAAAAAACAAAACAAAATTGGTGAGATCATGTTAATTATATTCTTAAATATATTTAACATCAGATAGGATTAAAATTTGATGTTAATATGTTATTTGGAAAAGATAGAAGTTTTGGATTTTTTTTTCAAATCTTATCTATTTGACCAATCCAGTAAATAAGACTTGTATATAGGCTATTCTGTGACCAGTGCCTTATTTATTTTGTGCATTATAGTATGGAAGACACTGAGATATGAATCAGACATTCACATAAATATAGAAAGCCCCATCTTTAATCCACTTTTGCATTTTGGAAGTGTTGGAGGAAATGTTTGAATTTCAACCTCTAACCCACAAAGAGCAAATGGAAGGCTTGGTAGTTTTCCAATAAGTTCCTGGGCTACACAAACACATATGTAAATAATTAGCAAAAGCACTAAAGAAAGGGTAGACTGGACAAGAGTCTATATGGAAGTATGTTAATCATCTCTCTCTCTCTCTCTCTCTCTCTCTCTCTCTCT